GAAATAAACAACAACCAAAAAAAAAATCCCCCAAAGAAGCCTCCCCTCCCCACCCAAAAAACAACAAACTAACAAAACAACAAAAACAAAAACAAACAAACAAACAAAAAATAGCAATCAATGAAATGTACAAAAAGCCATACAAACAACTTGGCCGAGTCCAGTTCAACAATCAATCCAGCCGAGAAATTATAATATAAAATTGAATGACTATATATTTTGTAAACGTATCAGAAGTATATATATACAACAAATTTGACATGGTCAATGTACACTCGTTGTTTCGCTAGCAATCCACTTACGTTCAAAGAATTTTCGATTTTTACATCCTCCCAAAGAACTATCAAAGATGCACCCTTTTACCATCACAAAAATGCAGTTTAATGCTATTGTCAAGGCCTACAATTCTCTTGCTTTTCATGATTCCTAATAACAACACAAAATAAACTAGTTTTGTGTCTCTGGTGTGAAAAGTACCCAAACGGAATCAAGTGGATTTCTTGATACACCAACGCTATGTTGATGTAAAGGAATGATTAATAAGTATGATAAGAGAAAGCACCGCTTTCAACACTATGATAATCTATGAGCTGATCCAAGAGGGGGTATCCCTGAATTCAAAGTCTATCTCCAGCAGGACCGAGAGTGCAAGACGTGAACTGCAGTGAACATGACCTGAGTTCAAATCCCAAAGAGGTTTTTCTTGAACTCTGTTTTTAGAGCAAATCTTTCGGCAGTGTGTTTGTGTTGTGTGAGAAAATAAAATGCATCGATACAATAACAATCATATTTTCCCCCTTTTTTAAAGTTAGAATTTTACGGCACTCGCAACTGAATAAGGTCATATTATAAGTGCAGAAGATTAGAGCTGATACAAAAGCATAACAAATACAAAAAAGAAGGAGGAGAGATCAGGACTATTATAGATGTTAGAAAAGGAAAAAAGGAACAAACCACCCACGGTCATTTAGTGCAGGAGGACCTTTATGACGGACTAGGTCGTCCCGGAAGCTTCAGCTTTATGAATTCTGTACAGTTAATTTCTCATTGTCGATGAGGTCTCTCAGTTGTAAGAGCCGGAGGTTAGAAGAGTTACTAGAGAGTAACATACAAAGAACAGAAGGAAGAGAGATAAGGACGACATATTATGTTTGGAAGTAAAAAGGGGGCAGGGCAATGCGCAACAGAGCGCCCGCCAACCTCCCACTCATTTCTCATGTCAACAGGTTTGTCAAAAGACAACAGCATCGTGCATTTGTAAAGCGGAGCATTTTTTTTACAGAGAAAGACTTTAGTGCTTGTTGTAGAAAATATACATTTGTTTCTGATCACCTTGGCTCAGATCGGATGTATAATATAATATTTCAATTTACAAATATGCAAAACATCATTAAAAGATAAAGTGCACATGGACAATATAAAGAGTCATGAATATGCATGGGTTGTTATAGTGTGGTCAAAAATTCGAGGCACATCTTATTGTCAAATAATTTCTCAACTATCGAACATAGACTCTCCAGCTTCTGCACAATGACTTGTATCAATGTGTCTTAAATTATCAATATTTTTTGTAAACACCTGTTAACTGTATTCTCGAAAATTCTTTAATAAATATTAATAATAAATCCTAGTGGGTGGTCTACAGATTTTAAAAGGTTTACAGCTGGGGAAACATTGCTTTCAAAGGCAAGTCCGTCATTTTTTTCAAATCGTGACATTATGCCTATTGAACGCAGTGATAGAAATAAAATTATTTTTAGTAACAAGTTTTGGAACTAAAAAGTGTCATTGGTGAGCTGTGACATACGCCATATTTTGCGTTTGCAAAATGTGTGTGAGAAATTGGAAGTGCTGTGAACACTCCCATTTTCCGCATGACGAAGATCTATAGTAGGCCTATGTAGATTAATGAAGAAATGTGTCTTCATCTAGACGCAATTGTTGTGGGAAAATATGATACGGATAAGGCAAAGTTATACAAACTGCGGTGCAAAGTATGGGTGACATTGACTCGCCCGTTAAAAAGATATTTGAAAATAAATTGCGATTCTAATTTTTGACCAAACTATAGTTATATACATGTATTTTAGCACTTAATAATCTGCTTGGATTGTATGCTTCCCGTAAACCGAGAGTTTTTTCTGAGTGTTGTCTTTGGGCGATCACAATGTGTTTGGGTAGTTGTAAGAGTAGAGCATTGATTTACACTATTTAAATGAAAAATGATTATATTTCTGATTATCATTATCATTATCATTCAGCATTCAGTAATTCGAAGGTGAAGAAAATGAGAGAATCACATTAATTGATTTTCTTAAGAACAACCGTGGTTCTATTTTGAAAAATATTGAATTCACGATATCATTATGGATTTTTCAAATGTCTGAACCAAGAGAGCTTGCTATGTGTAGGCTTGTCTCTGTGGGGAAAGGATTAGAAAACGGGGTTTGTAACCTTCTGTATGAAGGATTAAATAACGGAGTTTGTAACCGACTGTATGGAGAATTAATAACGGATTTCGTTTCACTTTAAACGAAGGATTTTAAAAACACGGAATTCGTAACCTTCTACAATGTAAATGAAAGATTAGATAACGGAAACTGGAACCGTCCAGCTGAAATATTTTTTAATGGAATTTTTGACATTCTCTTCGCAAACCCCTCCCCACTGGAATTTTTGACATCTGGAGAACCTGGTGTGACCCCTGCATGACACTTATCACGCCA